AGGTGATAAAACCGTTATATTTTATATTAACTAAGTAGGTGATAAAACCGTTATATTTTATATTAACTAAAGTAGGTGATAAAACCGTTATATTTTATATTAACTAAAGTAGGTGATAAAACCGTTATATTTTATATTAACTAAAGTAGGTGATAAAACCGTTATATTTTATATTAATATCTTATTTTCGTTGTTGTTGTTTTTCGTTTTCGTTTTCGTTATAGGTCCAGGCGTGGTTTAGTGGTTAACGTGTCCAGATTGTGAATCCGAAGGATCATGGTCTACTTTGTTGCAAAAATGTGCTCCGCATTTTGGGTTGAGGGCGCACTATAAGAGTGATGGTTGTATCCTTCTATACCATTAAACAAGAGTTGGCGATGAATGCTATTTATTGTTTACCGTTGTGTCAGCTGTAGTTTACGTACTTATAATGCTAAAATGCGGGGCTCGATTACCAGCGTGTGGATAGAGTTCAGATATTCTTTTGTGTAGCTTAACACCAAGAAAAATAACAAAAAATAATCCTATTGACCAGTTTGCCTTCCCTCTAGTCTATTAGATCAATATTGAGTATTTCTATGTGCAGATCCCTTGTGTAACTTTATTCAAAAATTCTAAAACAGAGAAAAAGAATCCCAATTATTTGGATATAACTATTTATTTCAGATTGGCATGGCCAGGCGGTCAGAGCGGTTGACTTGCAATCTGAGGGTGGCGGGTTCGAATTCTCGTCCCATCAAATATGCTTGCCCTTTCAACCGTGTGTGCGTTATAATGTTACTGTTAATCCCACTATTCGTTGGTAAAAGAGTAGCCCAAGAGTTGGCGGTGGGTGGTGATAACTAGCTGTCTTCCCTCTAGTCTTTCACTGCTAAATTAGGGACAGATAACGCAGATAGCCTTCGTGTAGCTTTCCGCGAAATTCCAAACAAATCAAACCAAATTATTTTGATTAGCTGTATGATAAATAAGAGTTACAAGGGTTGGCTTTTATTTATATTTTTCTCATTATACCAGACATGAATGAGAGTAATGGGAATGACTTTCTCTGTAATTTATTTATATTGCGTACAAACAGAATACAGCTACGTTTCTGTCATCCAGTCTGTAAGCTATGCTAGTAGTTCTAAAACTTTTCAAATGACTCACGATTTACATGCGAGCATGACCTAATATAATGCAACGTGTACTATTTTAATTTGATGAGGATTTTTTTTCATCAGAATAACGTGGTGATTGTAAACTATAATCATGTTTCCGCCAATAATATCTTCTTTGAGATCGTTAATGTGATTTTTGGTTGACTTATTTTAACAACTGTGTAAATAGCTTAATTCAAGCGTGTGTTCTGTTGTAAATAGTAATCCTTAAAGGTAAAAAAAAGCACATAAAAATTATTTCCGTCCAGGAAAGAGATGACCACCTGAGCTGTAATGACTTATGTCCATTTGTATGTCCTCTGCAAATGATATTGGTAATTCTTAAAAATTTGAATTTAAAAAAAATTACAATTTTGGTCGCAATCAATTGATAGTGATCTGTTGACGTTTATATAACTACTTAATGTATCTTTGTTAACCTGTTAAAGGGCTGTTTTATTACCACTATTTCATGTGCTTCAGTTATGTATAACATGCATCACAAATCTTCCCCTAGAAGAATTATTTATTATTATTATATTCTATCATATCAGTACAGAATCCCAGAGGAGAGGAAACAAAAGTGGTCATTTTATACAAAACAGTGTTAAGTCACTAATTGAAAGATTTACTCAAAATCGTTTAACTATAGTTTCAAACCTAGGCTGATATTACTATTTTATTTTCTAGCAATTCATAGCTTAAGTAGGTAAACATTCTGTTGTGAAAACTATGGGTGACTTCGTCGTTTCTATATTATTGCTCTACGTGCACTTTAAATATTGCCATGGTAATATATTTGCAGTTAAATAAAAATTCCTCAAATTGCATAACGACAAAAAAAAAAAAACTAAAATTAAAAATGACACTGATATACATACTGCCCTGAGGAAAATAAAAGTTACGAGTTTCAGACTCCCCCCCCCCCCAAGAAAGAAACAGAAGAAAGTTTCAATTTAGAGAGCAAACAGATAATTATATGTTTTTCAACGCTTTGACCTAGGAAAATTTTTCTTCTTCTAGAATATTTAATATTCTAGCAGAAGAATCATTATCTTCTTCCTTTAATAAAATATAAAATCTGTGATCGGGATGATTTTTTTACCACCTCCATTTGATTTAATAGCTTAAACATTTTTTTCTGTAAATGCGTTTTGTTTTAGGAGTTCGCAGAAAGCTGCACAAGGGCTTTTTGGGCAACATTTAAACTAATAGTTTAGAGGGAAGGCAGTTAGTCAATAGCAACCAACTCCAGTTTTTAGGCTACTACCTACCCTTGTCTGAGCAAATAGTGTCATTTGACCATCATTCTTATAATTTACTCAAGGTACTAATATGCAAAGTGAATTTTTTGCGGTAACGGGACGCGAACCATGAACATACGGATTCACAGTCCGAGATTGTTAATCATTAGTTTTTTTTTTTTTTTTTTTTTTTACTTAGACATCTATATCAATTTTTTTTCTTGTGATAAATGCAACCAAATACTCAAACAAGAATTTCTACAATACTTTAGCAGACAAAATAATAAATACGACAAGTTTTAAGTCTTAATCACATACCTGTGGATTAGCGCCCGGGTAAGTTGTATATCCTAACTGATGTGCGTAGGACATATCAGAGTAAGGTCGTCTGAATGTTTAGAAATATAATACCTAATAGTTTCAACACTTGATATCACAGTTCTGGACAGCTTCCCAATATCTGTTAATTATAATTCATTATTTATGGACAAACTGTGACGAGTATGCTTGGATAATTTATAAATGCTCTCTAACAGTTACATACGCAACAACAGTATAGGATGTTTTGTGATCACCTGCCCTGAGCTAGGTGCCACCTATACCGGGGTGACAGGGTGACTGATCTTGTTTAGTCACACCACAACGTGAATAGATGCAGCTTAAAGAAAGTCACCGTATTGTAAAATACGATGATTGTGATTCCACGAGGACCGTTGCCGTACAGTGTCAGAGTCTTGTTGACTTCGAAGCAGAGAAACACATTGGACACAGGTTTGAAGCTGGCACCATCGCAGAGAATGTCTGTTTCGTGAACCTCTATAGGATTATTTACAAGTAGAAAAATGAGCTCTAAGACAAAGCATTTGTTGAACTGTTCAGTCTATGTAGCATAACAAGCATGGACAAATCCTGTTCGCTACGTTTGGTTCAATCGCCAGATGGCCCACATTACAAACTAGCTCCTAAAGCTGCGACTGGCCTCTCCGTTGTATCACGGCGTACGTACGTAACTAACAGCGGTACTGATTGACAGATTTAGAGGCCGTTACGGGAACTTCGACTTCCCACGCCGGCCCTTGGCAACCGCAGAGCTCCGCCCATCTCTCCGAATGATTGACTTGGCTCGAGCGACCAGAGTCAGGTTTATGTGGTGCTCAGTTCCAGACTAGGAGATGTACACTACAGATAACTAATTTCCGAACTTTCTAGTGCGGCCTCTGTCGTCCACATGCCAAACTCGAAGTAAAGGCTGCTTATTAATCCAGAATAAACATTTGTTGTTTAATCATAAACATTTGCATAAATATCTATGCATATTTATTGATTGACAAAGTTACTCATATCTCGAAATGTTTTATATGGACTTTGAGCAATTGTTTTCATTTCGAACTGTTTAATTTTGTTTTTCTGTAACTGTAACAAATCTTAGACCTTGTTTAAAACTAGTATAACATATCAAGTTATTTTTAATTTAGTGACTGAAGGAGAGATTGTCTCTAATCAAAACTAAACTGATTCCTTTAATTGTTAAAAATAGGTATCTCAAACTTTGTTTAGTGCTAGTTTTGAATAACGAAATATTTTTGTTGTATTAAGAGGAAATATTGGTTCCAATGAAAACTAAGTGGGTTTCTTTAATCGTTGATAACGGGTATCTCCTTTCTTGTTTGGAACTAGTTTAGAATATTGAGTTGTTTTTATTTCAGTAACAGAAGGGGATATTGGTTCCAATCAAAACTAAGTTTAATAAGGAACACTTATATATGTCGATGTATGTACAGTAAGTCTGTGTGTGTGAATAAGCAAGGTTTATTCTAAGTCTAGAAGCATTTAATTTAATTTTATTCATTATTTAAAATTATACATATATCTATTTCGTCTCTCAAGATACTCTTCGGTGAGAAAAACAAATTTCGTATGTTTTCAATTCTTGTGTTTCAAACACGTGGGACTGCAACGCGATCCAATTGGTACACGTATATGTTTTCACTAACATATACAAAACCGATAGTTAAAGGTGACAAAGAATGATGATTCCTTTTGACATCAGGCTGTGAAACTTTCTTTTGAGTAAGGAATTATCCAATCAGAAGGAAAATACATTATCACTTACTAATCAAACGCTACCTAAAATAGAATTATTTTAATTCGGGTTTGGAAGATGTTTCTATTTGCAATATTTAAATAATTAACAATTCGAAGTTATAAATATGTGCCTGAAGCTAGTGGTTATTAATGAATTCGTTACCTCTAGGCTGGTTTAATTTCGATCTGTGTAGTCTCCCTACTGGAAATGATGTCCTTATTTTACATAAACTTGATGATTCGCGGCTGTAATTTTACTCTGTACTAGGATTTTTCTCTCAGTTTGGAAACTTTGGTTACATTAGAAAATTATAAAATAAAGAGCCTTAACTAATAAATATGCATGTACAATAAGTTGAAATAAGCATCTTGTTGTGCTTGGCAGAATAGTTAATACTAAATACACAATCATGAAATATAGTTTGAACCCACATGCACATCTTTGAGTATTTTGTTGTACTTGAGAGAATAATTAGTAATAACAGGCACTGTCATGAAGTATAGTTTGAAGCAACATGAACACCCTTGAACTCTTGTTTTATTCGGCAGAATAATTAACAACTAACATATAACCATGGAATATAGTTTGAACCCACATGAACATCTTTGAACTGGATATTATTTTTCTCTTGAATGTGTTAAAGAAAGATATTGTGAAACTCCTGTTTGGCAAAGAACAATGTTCACTCAGGAGAAGCAGCCTAGTTAGACATAATGTAATTTCAGACCCACAACTGTATTAGCCACGAGGAATGAAGCCATTAAACTGACTTTCTATTGACTGGTAAAGGTTTCTTTATGTAATCCTTTTAGCTTGCAGCAAATTGTACAATTATATATATGTATAAGTCAGTTCGTATTAAAACCCACTTTATACGGTTCATTCTGGGCAGGGATTATACAGATAGTAAGCTCTAAAGCCGTGAGTCGTTTTTCTTTTTTTACAGGTGTAATTTTCTTTTTAATATTATACGAACTTTGACGTCTAAGAGAATTAGTATCAAGAGTTATTCTTAATAATATTATCAAGGCATTTTTATTATTTATCTCGCTCTTTACGTTCTTACTTGAGTGTGGTCAGTTCACAAAGATTTGATTGAATTATTGCAAAAATATAATGTGTCTCTTTCTATGCTACTAATTTGAGACAGAAACAAACCAGAACATCTGCTGTTAACCAAAGGCATTATACATCGTTTCTAGGGAAGGGGTTAATATAATTCAATATAAGTAGTTAAATTAGGACAAGTGCATGCAATATTGTTTTTTAGTGTATTATAACATATAATGCAACAAATATTATAATTTAGTAGCATCTCTGCTAAATGGATAGTGCAACTGTATACCAGTTATATGGTTCTCGTAATAAGGTCGGTTCTTATGTTTGTCTTAATCGAGCAGTATTTTGGCGTATTACAAAAATATGCAACATTGATATAATAGTTCCGCGTTCTCTGAAGGTCATCTGTGGCACCATGTACACGAAATATAGTTTCAACCCACATGAACACCCTTGAATGTTGTGTTTGGAAGAATAGTTAATAATAAACACACATTCATGAAATATAGTTTGAACTCACATGAGCACCCTTGAATGTTGTGTTTGGAAGAATAGTTAATAATAAACACACATTCATGAAATATGGTTTGAACTCACATGAGCACCCTTGAACTTCTTATTGTGTTTGGCAGAATATTAACAATAAACACACATCCATCAAATATTGTTTGAACCCACATAAACATCTTGTTGTGCTTAGCAGAATAGTTAATACTAAACACACAATCATGAAATATAGTTTGAACCCACATGCACATCTTTGAGTATCTTGTTGTGCTTGAGAGAATAATTAGTAATAACAGACACTGTCATGAAATATAGTTTGAACCAACATGAACACCCTTGAACTCTTGTTTTATTCGGCAGAATAATTAACAACTAACATATAACCATGGAATGTAGTTTGAACCCACATGAACATCTTTGAACCTCTTGTTGTGCTTGGCAGAATAGTTAATAAAGTTTTATTTGTCGAAATGTGATGAAATAAGACAATAGTTAGCTTTTATATGCGGAAACATCTGTTAGCTGAATTCTTGCACAGATCTTAAAATATAACGTTGATAAACGGAAACATCGGCATCAGCTAACAGATTTTTCCGCATATAAGAGCTCTCTTCAAGTTTTGTACACCAAAAAACTTTTCAATACAATAGTTGTAAATCAAGCTTCTTGGTGTTTCAGAGATGTTGTAATTCCATCTAAATATAGAAGTATACATATGTTTTTATCTTATATCATATATATATGTATCGTATACAGGTACTTGCTATTTGTTCGTTGTGCATGCTGCTTTCTTCATGCAATGATCAGAGTCAGAATGGTGTGCAGATGAGCAAAACAACAATGATTAAAAAGAAATTGCCACTTTTAAATAGTACCAAGAAAAAGTTTGATGTATTGCAGCTACATTCGTCCATAAACATTCCTTAAGGTAAATATTAGGGATGCGTATCTTATTACAGTAGTCGATACGATACGTATCTAGATACAAAAGTCTTACCAACGGTTTGTTACAAAATTTGACAGTCTTGTCTGTAATATATTATCTATATTACTAACATTGTCTTATTATAAGTACTTCAAACGTTACATTGCTTTTTGAAATTCTCAGATTTGATCAGCTAAATGGCAGCTGGCAAGAGAAGTAATATAGAAAAAGTTAATATCTGTCTATCTATTTTGATATTGTTAATTTGCTATGTTATTTTGCATGTAATATTTTTGATAAAAAAATGAAGACAACATGTAGTACTCAATACTCACCTTCCTTTATCGAATCATTAATTTTTAGCAAAAATACTCTTTATTAAAAATTCTTATTTTTTCTGTACAAAAGACTTATAATGTTTACTGAAAGCTTGCCAAATTTCGTAAAGGTACATAAATCATATCG